AAAACTGGGATTTCCCCCGTCCCTCTCCTGTCCTGCCCCAAAACTCGTGCTGTCAGGGGAGGCGATGCCACTGGCTCGTGCAGGAGCGTGGTGACGCCAGGCAGTCTTAGCCGTGCAGAGTTTGGTGGGTAGGAGAAAAAGACTTAAGTTAAATGTTGAGCTAATTAGCTATTTTATTAGCAAGCAGCTGCGGGTGATAATGTCTGTAACAGTTTAGTGGCCGATTGCCTCTTACAGCACCAACACCGTGCAGGTTTAGATGATTTTTCCCCCTTTATACAAATGTCTGCAAATCCCCTCCTTTGCCTTGCATCTGCCCTGAAGCACGGCCGATAAAGCCAGAGACTTTTCCCAGCTTCAGCCCGTCTCTGGGAAGGAGGATGATATTAAACTTGAAACAAATTACATTGTGCGTTCGAGTGAGGATGCTCGAATGCATTTTCTTTTCCTAATGACGGAGGCAGTGGGAATTGCAGCACCATTAATTTCTCCTTTTGCCTCCTGCGAGTTGTCAGTGGCTCTCCTCTCTTGCCTAGTAACTACCACATCCAACGGGTCGGATGCTTTGCTGTGGCCCCGGCACCTTTTGTACGAGCTCCTTGCTGAAAAATAACCGGAGCAGCCCGGGAAATGCTGTGGGGCGAAGCCGGGAACCGCGGGAGGCAGCAGGGATGCAGGGTTTGCAGCGAGCTCCGGAGGAGCCAGCCTGGCCCCAGCATCCAGGGCTGCTGCTTCCTGCGGTGTTTCCTTCTGTTTTGTGCCTTTTGAACCTTTCGGGGTTTCTCGCTGTTGGTGGAGGGTGGGGAGACGGGGCGGCTGCTGGGCTTTAAAGTGTTTCCAGCCTGGAGGAAGATCAGCCGTGCTGCTGGATCTTGGGATGGGAAACTGCTGCTCGGAGGACAATAAAGGTTATTAAATGTCAGGGAGAAATAAAGCTGCCTTTTTTTTTCTTTTTTTCTTTTTTTTTTTTTTTTTTTTCCCCCTGGCTGAACTGGTTTGCAGGCGCTTTGTGCCGCAGGCAGAGCAATGGCAGATGGGGACCGGGGTATGGGACCAGCTGCCTTGGGGCATCCTGATTCCGGATTCAGGATGGGACATTATTCCTTGAGCACTTGGGGGTCCTGGCCATGGGTCAGGGACTTGCAGACCCAGCCTTACACAAGGGCAGAATGAAATGGGTGTATTCCTTTCGTGGGTGCAGCCTTGCAGGGGGTTGCATGGGTTTAGGCTCACGGATGCATCCAGCCACCTCCGCCGCCAGCTGCTAATGTCACCCCAACCCTTTGCCAAGCGCAAGGGTTTTCGGTGACGGCACGGGAGGCGGTGATGCCGGCTTCGTTGGCCTCCGCCGCACCTCTCCTCCTGGCCTTGTGCCCTCACGGCTCTGGCAATGTGAGCAGCGACAGGTCTTTCCAGTCCTACCCCGGGGCCGCGTTTCGGCACGCAGCCCTTTTGGGAGCTCCCATCGCGGCTCTCGAGGCGCGTCCGCAGCGGGGCGGCACCTGGGGAGGGGGAAAAGCACTGGGTGCGTCACCAGCTCGCCTTGTTTATCTTTTCTTTTGACAGTCATAGCTTTAATTAATCATCGGGCACCGGTAAACGCTTGCAAAATTGTCCCCTTAACATCAGGCTGTGTCCGCCCCGGGACCGAGGTCTCTGGAGCTCGCAGAGCATCGCCTTCTGCCAGATGCTTCTCGCCCACTGGAAGGGGAGCCAGAGCCCACGGGTTGAAGGTAAAAAGCAAATTGGTGTTGCAGGGCTCCCCAGGGAGCGTGCTGGGGCCGGAGCAGACCCTCGGGGCTCCCGCAGGGTGGGCATCCACCTGCGGCACAGCTGATCCTGCCCGGCAAAGCCACTGGAGTATCTGCTGGGAGAAAATATTGGGTGTTGACCTGCACCCCACATGGCAAAAAGGTGGTGTGGAATGGCAAAAGTTGGCAATTTTGATGTAGTTTGGAAATCGGGCATTTTGTCGGATGGTGAGCAGGATAAGCCCTAGGATCAATGGCCAATAATCAAAGTGCAGCTCCCGTGAGATCCCAAATCACGGCATCTCCCCTTCCTTCCCCTCGGAGGCTCATCCATGGTACTGCTGCGACGCTTTCCCCTGTATTTTTACCTCTGCTGCGCCGCTGCCTAGCTCTCCATTTTAACAGATGGCTGGAGTGACAATTACTGCCTCAAAAGATTATATTTATAAATTCCTTGTTGGGCTGTTATCCGGCGTGTGATAGAGCTTTACACAAACAGAGAGCCGAGAGTCACTGCTGGCTGTTGTAACTGGAAAGGAAATTATATTGCACAAAGCTCTTCAAGAAAGCGTGACGGGTTTTGCTGGGGGAGAAGCTTTGGTGGGTGCGTGCAGAATGAGTTTGGTTTGCGTAGGTTTGGTACATGTTAAGAAATATAGTCACCTGGGGGTGACTGGCACCGGCTGGCTGGCATCTTATCCCATCCCATCCCATCGGAAGGAGCACGCTGCATCTTGGAGGGCTGCAGGACTGCGAGGCGAAGCTACCTTTCATGGCTCCTGGAGTTCATTTAATTGCTTTTCTTCTCTTCTTGGTTATCATGAATGGTGAATTTGGAAGCTCTTAATGCAAAACAATTAGGGACAGGGTTCCCTGGGGATGGAGTGATTTCCTATCTGGAAATGCATCGGGTCTTTCATCCTCCCTGTTCCTGCCTGCTTGCTGCTGGGCACCGCGTGCTGCTGATTGTGAAGGTCGATGGCGATGCCTAACACTCTGGGCTGCATGGTGAGGATGGTAGAGGACGCTAGCAATGCTAAAATTAAATCGGCTGACCCTTGGGAAGGATGACTGGGAGGTCTGTAGGGAGATTACACCTAAGCGGGGTGCTTGGGAGAGGCTGGGTGAGGTGGCCTGCTCAGGAATCCACGTCTTTGTCAGGATTTGGAAATAAAAGCAGAAAAATGGCATTTGGTCCTCCACCAGCGTGTCATGCCTTTAGCATCCACGTTGCTGGGCTTGAGTCACCTGCACCATCTTACCGGTGACCTTCCCTTCGGTGCTGTGGCCGCCAGCATCTCCCGAGCATCCACTGCACTTCTCCTGAGATGCTCACATCCGAATGGGGACCGCGGGGCTGCCACGGGCTCCTCTCTCCCATGCGTGGGGCGGCGATGGAGGACCACGCTTTGCCTGGGTAAGACGGCATGGTTAGAGGTGATACTTAACTGTGGCTTGTCACCCTTTCTAGCAACTGAGACAGAAAAGGGAGAAGGGACATAAAACATGAGAGCTGTGCTGGGCAAGCGCTGCAGGTGTCAGCAAGCAGCATGTTTTGGGGATGCTGGTGGAGGTTTTGCCCAGTGTGGACCCGCAAGACCGGGCTGCCCACACCACCTTTTCCTTGGAAACCCGGCGGTTTGCACAAGCAGAGGTGTACCGTGCCGTGCCGAGGCCCCTTCTGCTGCTCTGGGAGCCGTGCCACGATGCTGGCCAGGTCCCCGCTGCCGCCCCAGCCCCGTGACACCGTGATAGCAGAAAGCTGAGCTGTCGCTCACCGATGCAACCTTTGCACTCCCAGCAGTCCCGCGTTTGCTCCTCGCCCATCCCGGCTGCCTCGCGTGGGTGGGAAGAATCAAAACCACCTTCATCTCTCCCAGCTCTGCCGCTGCCGGTGCCCCCCGGGTGGTTTGCCGTGCTGCTGCCGGCTGGTTTACTGGGAAGGGAGAGGATGGAAAGCAGCGCTTGGGGGAATTATTTAAATTGCAGGTGCCGCAGGAGCTCTTCCCTGGGGCCGTCTCGCCATGCAGCCAGCAACGGTGTGTACGCAACGCCCGCGCAGACCCCAGCTATTTCTGTATTAAGTGTTTGATGGAGCCAAATACAATTCGGGCGTATTTGCAGGGAAAGCACAGGGAGAGGAGCCCCGCGCCTGTTGCTCGAGCTCGTGGCAGCCTGGCCATCTGCGTCTCCCCGGGAAGGCATTATAAATAGGTTCAGCTGCTTTCCTTTCCCGTGGCATAACTTTTCGGCGCTCCGCAGATTACGGAGAGGCTGAGGGTAATTATAACACCTTCGTCCTAACTTGCCGACGCCTGTCTCCCTCGCTGAGCTCTTCTAACGCACGTGCTGTGGCAGATGTTTGCTAACCGAGAGGACCCCGGGGAGACACGGAGAGGCTTTTTCCTCCCTAAAGAAGTTAGCATCGAGGAGGCGTGTGTCTTTGACAGCCCATGGCAAGCTCCGCTTTGCTCAGCGGAGAGGTAAGTGGCAGCTGGCGGTGCAGTCGTGTCCCCCCAACCTGGGATCCAGCCGTGGGGTGGCCGCAGGGAAGGCAGAGCATCACCCGAACCGAGCCGCGGTGGGGAGCCTGTGCTCTGGCATCTTCCGCTCTGCGTGAATAATTCACCAAATTGCTGTGTTTTTGGGTTTGTTCCGTAACCTGGATCCCAGCTGTGATTTACTGGGGCAAGCTGGAGGTCAGCGCAGGGCTCGTCCCCTCCAGCTTTTCTGCTGTGTCTGGCTAAGGTGGAGAAAACCCTGTGTTTTAAACCGTGTAAACACCCGTCAGCGGAGAAGCTGCTCGGCAGTGCCTGGCTGCGTTCGGCTCGGTTACGGTCGGCGCAGGGCAGATGGTTTCCCGTGCCTGGACCGGTGCTGTGCCACGTGTGGGATGTGCCAGCGGGGCGTGAAGCTGGGCGTGCAGGCGGATCCCTGTCCTTAGGTGCTTTCGTAAGCGAGGAGAAGGAAGCTCTGGTGACCTCTGCATCAGAGATTCAACCAGGAATAAGGAAACGAGAGGATTTTCCCAACCGTTGTGCAAATAGGGGCGTTCAGTACGGGAGGGTCCAACTTAATGCCATAAATCAGATTGGATTAGGAAGGATTTGCAGAGGGCCAGTCTGGAAGAGCGGCTTATTTAGGTTTTTAGCAGCCGTGTCACAACCATACGTGGTGTCGCAACGCGCTGTTGCGTTGTATGCTCACGTTAGGGTGTTGGGTGAGCCGCCGGGAGCTCCTGGGCTGGGCACAGGGGAGACGGTGCGGGGTGGCCACGGGAGGGTGGTCTGGGCTGTGAGAGGGCATGGGAGGACACGGCTAGATAAGCACCAAGAACCTGACATCTTCCTTGTCTTGTGAGTCTGAATCAAATCCCTCAGCCCATGAGATTGCGGAGGGTGAGTATCCTTTGGGGCACGGATGGTTTCATGCTGTCGTGGGTCTTTTTAATGCAAATTAATTTCTCGTTATGAGAGTGACTCTGTGCTGTGGACGTGTCTTGTTGCCCCGGTCCCACTCCACGTGCTTTTGCTGTGCTCTGGGTGTGCTCGTGGGCACATCCAGCCGCAGCAGAGGAGCTGCCTCTCTTTTATGGGGCTCAACTCACACCGTGGGCTCAGCCTGGCCCCATGGTTGTTTGCATGCAGGACCTGGGCTTTAGGGCTTTTATTAGAGCTTTTATCTCATTTCTCCCTGCTCTTGCTCTGCCCCCAATTCCTTACAGCGGGATTTTGCATCACATCCTTCTGTCTTTGGAAGCCTGGCTCCTTTCTGGAGCTGTCAGTGCCATCCCCTGTGCCTTGTGCCCAGCCCCGCTCTCCCGGGCTGCTTTTTGCTCAAGGGCACGAAGCAAAAAATTGCCCAATAATTTAGTAACTTCCACAAAAGAGGTGCTTCCCCTTGTAGCTGCCGAGTAGTTGGGGATGTCACCCTCCGCTCAGCACCGATTCCTCCTCTCTGCCTCCCTCCTGGTGCCGGAGAACCAGCCCCAGCAGATATGAGCTTGGCTGTCTCACGGGCAGCTGGAGTCGTGCTGTGTTGTGATCGGGGAAGGAAAATAGGCCACTTATCTTGTGCGACAGACACAGCCACCCCCAGAGCCTTTGTCTGCAAAAAGGGGAACGGAGCGATGAATATCCACGTCGATCCGGGGGCAGAGCTGCAGCTGGGGCCTCGGTGGGTCTGTGGGTGCCCACAGGCTCCCTGCAAACGCAGCGAGGAGGGAGGTGGGTGCTGGAGGATGGATGCGGCTGCAAGCGTGGGGGGCACCGGGAGACGGTTCTCGGATGGGGATGGAGCTGGGGAGGGGGGTCACTCTCCCTGGAGGGTGTTTTTTGGGGGGGGTACCACCATGAAGAGGTTTCCACAAGCTGCTTAGAAAGTCTCGAACATCTCATACGGGTGCAGATGGGTTAATAACCCAAACGTGAACCTTGGTGGAGACGGGCTGCCCCGGTCCTTGGCCGCTTCCAGCCGAGGCGATGTGCCACGGCAGAGTCACGGGGTGGATGCTCTCCCGGCAGCCCCGGGGCCTCTCCTTTCCTCGTTGAGGTGAATCATTCCTGGGGAGGGCTGTAAATTACCAAAGCAGGTGGAGCAGGCACAAAACTGCCCGTCTCCCATCCCGGTGCCGGAGGCTGGGTTTGGTTCGGCGCCAGGAGCGTGCGTGCCAGCACATCGCTGGGGTTTCCATCTCCCACGCTCCGGTGCAAACCCCGGGTCAGCAGCAGAAGCAACAGATAAAAAACACGACCTGCAAGTCGTGCTTTAAAGATCGGGCGTCCATGTGAAAACCCAACCGGCAAGAGCCGGCAAGGGGAAGGCAGTAAAATCCTCACCATCACGTTACATAAAAATTGAGGATCTGGGATGTGTTTTTACATGTCACTTGCAATTTCTGAAGTCTGACTTAATTATAATAATCACCCTCAGCAGAGTGTCAATTAGTAATGCTCTTGGATTTCTGCTGAGCTCAAACTTTGTGTCACAAACGCATTGCTTCCTCCGTGGGCTGCCGCTGATGGGTGCGGGGAGCAGGCAGCATCCCCTCCGTGCAGGGACGGACGGGGCGTTGAGCAGTTTCATGCTAATTGGCACCATCTGAGCTCTCCCGATGAGGATGCTCCCTGGCAGGAGTGACTCACCCATCTCTCTCGCTTTTGACTCTCTTCCAAGGGCACCCTTGTGCGGCAGCATCTGGGTTTGGCCAGGCTCTGCTGGGGATGCTGCAGTCCCCTCAGTACCGGTCCCAGTGATATTTCCCTGGGTTCCTACAATTTGCCGCTCATGGGTCACCCCTCTACGGCATCTCCTGAGGGGGAAGATGCTGTTGTTACAGCCAAGTCTGTTTTTTTGCTCCCTGTGGGTAGCAGAACAGGACTGGCTATTGCTGCTGGTCCTCCGGGGCATGCTGGGTCAGTGATCACCCGTGGGGGGATGCTCTGATACGGGAGTACGAAAAGGGGCTCTGCTCTGGGTTGGGGTGATGCTGGAACAGAGAGGATAAGCAGGACTGGGGATGCCATGCTGACACGGGGGGGTTTCCAGCCTTCCCTCGCTGTCACGGGGTACGTGCCACTGCCTGGGCAGTGCTGCGGAGCTGGGGGGGGCTGCTGCTCCCCCAAAGCACCCCACTTCAGAGAGCCCATTGGGTTAATGTGGGCAGTGGCTAGCCAAGTGTCAGGACTGAGATGCCCTGGCAGAGAGGCTGACAGGGATGGAGGTGGAGGGGTTAGTGGCCTCCTCTACATGGTCATTTGCTTCTCTTTGTATCAGAGACTCCCCACCATGGTGAGCACCCCAAAATCGCCACTCAGATATGTAACACCCCCTCTGGGACATCCCTCCCAGGGGTCTCACCATTTCCCACTCTCCTATCTCTTGCCACAAAACCCCCGGAGCTTTTTCTCCAGTGGTGCCAGGGGAGAAGCCAGACTCCACTGACGCTGCCCTCTGAGCGAGCAATAATTCCCCCAAGTGCTGCCCTCATCCCACCGCACGCTGCACCGGCTGCTCTCACCTGGTTTCTCCTCCCCGCTGGGTTTTTTTTCCCTCTGATCTCAATTGGTACTTTTTTTCCCTGGAGTGGCTCATCTGGGGAGGAGCAGAGCAGGTAACTCACAATCCTCAGGGGTCTGAGTGATGGGGAGGCTTAAAAACCAGCTTAAGGTGATGGAAAGGTCCCCCTTCGATGGGGACCCCAGCTAATTTTGCTTAATATTTCGGATATCTGCGTGTGCGGGGGCTTGGACAGGCTGTTTTGGGGAGGGGGGTGTGCGTGATGAGATCGGCGTGGGAATCCCGCCACAAAGCAAGTGCTCTCGCGGGGGCTGCACGCTCGCCCCGTGCCGTAGGAAAACGAGACGTCCGCGCTCGGCCGGCCGTGAAAAACCGTGGGTGAAATTACACAATGGAGCTTTTTTTTTTTTTTCCTCCTTCTTCCGAGCCGGCGCCGCAGCCAGCCGGGCTCTGCGCGCAGCCGTGTGTGCCTGCGTGGGCACCCGGGGAGGCGGTGGGGGGGGACACACGTACATACACATACGATGCGCCTGAGCTCCGGAGGGAGGGATCGCATCGTTCCCGCATCGGCTGCTCCCCGGCGTGCCGGCCACGCTGGACCCAGCCTCGCCGAATGCCGCTGACCCGCCGGCGAGCGAAGGTGCGCCGAGGCTGCTGGGTGCAGGTAAAAGCCAGGGGAGGGAGGGATGGCAGCGATATAGGGGGGACACACACCAGCTCCGTTGTGACCCCGCGCGAGGACAGGCCTCGGCATGGCAGCACGATCCCCTCCCTGCCGAGGTTTAATCCGTTCTCTTTCCCCATCTCCTGCTGGGAGGTGATAACCAGGTTTCTCATGGCCCAGCCACCGAGGCATCGCCATTCTTCTTTTTAAACTCGACCCATCGGTGGGAGGCCATCATCCTCCCCGGGTAGGATGGAGGGTCCTCGGGTGTCCCACGGCTCCCCGGGCTCCATCGGCAAAAGGTTTGGCCGCACTGCTGCGCCGGCTGCATCTTTAACCGCGGACCCAGCAGCGGAGGCTGGAGGCGGCATCTCCCGTGGGAGTGGGGGGGCTGAGTGCTTTCGGGGCAGGGGAAACCCTCCCGTGCCTTTCGGGGAAGCTCTTTTCCAAAATACAGCCTGGCCCCCGGGATCCCTAGGTGAAATTTTGCTGGGTGAAAATGGGAATTGCAGAATAAACAGCTCCATTTTGGGGCTCCCTGGGGATGTGTGTGTGTGGTGGGGGCGGGGGGGGAAGCTGGGCTGCTGGTGAGCATTAAAGCAGAAGCCGCTGCTCGGCACAAAAGCCGGTCTTACGCAGCACAGGTCTATTCAAGAGACATTTAATTCTCTTCTAAAGTCCAGGCAAACAGGGAGCTGCCATCTGGTGTCTGATGGCAGCGGGAAGAAAGGGCTTTTTGCAAAGCGGAGGCAAGTTGGGAGCTTGCTGGGCTTCAGATTGTCTTGAAATGGCTCTGGTTTTAAGGCTGAGCAAGCTGGCTTTGTAAAGTGACCCGTGTAGGTTAATGCTGGCTTTGGAAAGGGGAAGGGTCCTACCTGCAGCTGCCCAAGCCAGCAGGCAGCAGAGCCCCGCAGGGCGATGCTGGGGCCAGGAGTAGAACCGCAGCCGGGGCGGACACCCAGGGGACCAACGGTGTTCACGTCACCTGCCAAAAATCCTGCATCAGGGGATGGGACCCTGGCCGCAGGCTCTCACCCCGCTCTCCGGCTCTCCACATCTTGGTGCAGCGCTGGGTGCTGATTCTGGCATGCACCGAGTGCGTGCGGTCTCTGCTCTGCCTGCGCGAGCACAGCTGAGCGCGGGTCTCGGCTCACAGCCTCCCCGGTATTCGAGGAATTATTTTTATTAAGTTGCAGAGGCTGTAACTTCTCCGCCTGGGAAGTGGCTCGGCAGTGTCTGCAGTCAGGGTAGCACGGCTGCACCTTGGCAAGGACCCAGCTTAAACCCTGGTAAAACGGGGAGCGTGTCCTCGCTGCCGGTGCAGGGAGCAGAGCAAATCTGCAGCGGGGACGGGCAAACTCAGTGTGGGGGAGTTTCACCTTCCCTAAGTCCCAGGGCTTGGTTAAGCAAAGAGGTTTGTGCGTTGAAATGTTGGTGGGGTGCTTTGGGCGGAGGTACCTCCGGATTTAGGGTGGTTTCAGGGATCCAGCACTCTGGCTCTGTGTCCCCTAGCTGTGACCTTTCTGCCGGGGTGTTCTCACTGCGGGAGAGACACGGGGAACAAGACTGACCAGTTCCCCAGGGAGGAAACAGGCCGTTCCCTTCCACAGGGAGTTTTCCTTGGCAGAAACAAAGCTTTGCCCACGGTGCCTTTGCAGAGCCCTGCCAGGCTGGCTCAGCGCCCGCCGGGGCCACTTCTCACCGCTGCAGAAGCGC